AGTAAAACAGGAAAAAGGAAAACATCCCTAAGAAGGCAAAGGAAGCAAATGAGAATTTTCAGGAGAAAAAAAATCCTCTTGTTTATACTTGTTTATTATGAATTCTAATTAGAATCTTACAATTGCTTTAGTCGATTTCTAGCACTGCCTTCATTTTGAACACCAGTTCCAAAGCCACCTCAGGCTCTGGATGACATTAAAAGGCACAGGTTGTTTTCACTGTTTGTTTCATTAAATTGTTTTTACTGCAGAGAATTTGGATTGCAAGGTTCTGCACAATTTGTGTGGCATTTGTGAACTATTTCCAGCTTATGAAATTAAATACATAAATAAAGTAAAGAGAATAACATCCTGCAAAGACTCTCCCTTACTTAACAGAATGTAGAATAGCATGGAGAGATGCCTCCTACACTAGGAATGACACAGGGGTGCTATGGGAAAGTAGTCAGTGATCATGCAGTGAAACCCCACAAGAAAATATTTTTGTTAAATCCCAGCTGCCATGTTCCCAGCACCAGGCTGAGTATCCCAGGACTCCAGAGGCTGTTTCTATCTCAGTATCCTTACCTAAACATCCTGCTTCCCCAGGATGCCTGGCTCCACATGAACAACAGGTCTGTTTGTTCTGGGTCCCTCCCTGATCTTTCACATTATGCCCCTACTGATTCCTGGGTCCAACTTCACATACACACACTCCTTGGACAGTTTCCTGCTTGCCCAATATACCTTCCCAGGATTCCATCTTCCAAAATCTGGGTCTCTCTGCTTAACTTTTGGTCCTGTAGCTTTTATGGGAAGAAAAAGACACATTTCTCATATTTTGCAGTCTTTCTGCTTCTCCCTCATCTCTTCCCTTTCCTCCAAACAAAGTATTCAAAGCAAAGCTACTGAATCATATGAACAAAACAACCTATTTTCCCCTAGCATCATTCTCAGAAAAGGTTGAAACATTTTGATGCAAAGATTCAGCTGGAGGCAGAAATTGGCATGGAAAAATTCATCACAAACAGCCAGAGTCTGGCTGAGTTATAAGTAACTGAAAAAAGGTATGTATCAAGGAGATTGCTTGGCAACCTCAGGAACAGGCAATGCTACTTAGTTTTGCCTGAAATATGAATGGTCCTGACAAAAAAAAAAAGGAAAAAGATGTGTAAAAGATAAATAAGAAATTCTAAAGATGACATACAAATATAGAGAGGAAGCTGCTGAACATTAATAAGCAAGTGTCACTCTTACAGTATTAGATGTACAAAAGGAAAAAACCCTCTGTGGGCACTGCAGTGTGTATCCAATGCAGACAGACAGGGACCTGCAGACCATGGGTGTCAAGTGTGACACCCAGAATTCATCTCTAGCTAATGCCCCCTAAACTGTCCCCAATTTCCATAAAAGGCTCTGTCACAAGGAAATTCCAAGGGCAAGTGGCATAAGGAGGATAAGACCTGCCACCCACCAACAACCCAGAGGTTTGTGTGGCAATCTTCTTTTCCTGGCTGTTTATTTCCCTGTCATCCAACACCTCTTCTATGCAGCCTTGGCTCTGAACTCTGAGGAGACTGCTAAGTTGTGAGGAAGAGCTGTGGAGCTGCCTTCCTCTTCACTGGGATGGTGAGAGCCGCTGGCCTTCACAGCCCCAGGATAAGCCCAAGGGACCAAGTGGTAAAAAAGAGATGTCAATATGCAAAAAATTCTAAAGCAACAATCAGAGAATTGTAGATGTCAACTCAGCACAGACATGTCAGGGAGCAGTAGTCATGCTCTGCACCTGTCTGATGACCAGCAAAAACTCATCATGCTCCTTTTGCAGGTGATGATGATCAGCCTAACAACTCACTAACTTCAGCTCTCAGTTATGTGTTTTGGCTGCAGTATCTGCTCTGGTCTTAAAAAGTGCACAGAATTTCTTGTACGTCACAAAAATTTCCTGGATAAAACAATCCAAGGAGGAAAGGTGATAGCACAGGTATGAAATAAGTCATATTAACATAAAATTATTTGATTATGGTGTGAAAACTTATAATATTCAAGTAAATAGTTAAACAACCAGAATTACTCTTTGTCTGCCCTCTTTTGCTAGCCTGACTTATTAACTTAGTCCTCGAGAAAAGTCATCCTGAAGAAACCTTGACAAAACTGTATTGTAGTATTTGAGCTGAAAGAAACAGAAAGAAGACAGTACAGTATATAAGTCCATAAAATTGCAGAGCTAATCAATTCAGTCACATAATTTTCCAGGCTAAATAAATTCAACAGTCAGTTCACAGCACAGAAAACAGTAGCAAGATCCAATGCTGTATAATCATTCCAGGTCTGCTTGTGCATTCTCTGCATACTCACTTGTTCAGAAGTCATTAGACATTTTGGTGCATAAAGAAATTGGGATTAGGTCTTCTACAAACTCCATAGGAGCAAGAGTAATTAAAATTTATGACTTTACAGTCTGGCCATCCAGCCAGCTGATCCAAAGATTTGTATTTCAAGCAGAAACCTTTTGTTCAATCTCTGAACCAATTAACCTTGCCAATTCCTCTGTATTTCTGCAACAGCAATGGTATATTTAGGGAATCAAAAAATGTAATTGGATCCTCTGCATGTATTCAATTCCCTATTCAATTTATGTTCCCTTCACATATCCTCCAAAACTTCTCATCTGGCTATTAGTACTTGTCCATAAGCACTAAAGGTACACAATGTATCACTCAAAGTCACAAAAACACTTTCTACATGAAGTCTCTTTCCCCGATGAAAAAAACCTAAGAGTTTCTACACCTCTTTCTGACCCTCTCTTCATCTTGATCTGCATTAAGCTCTATATAAATTATTTCTATCACCTTATCTAGGCCAGATTAATAGCTAGATAATCAAGAATAAGTTTTTCATTGCCAGACCAATTGTAACACCTTCTATTCTAACTTGTGGCAAAACATTGTGGAGCTATATTCAAGCATCAGCTGAGATAAGATGCCCCTGGATTCCTCACTTGCTCCCTTACTAAACATGTCAGCACGTCTGAATAAAACTTCTCACTTCATCCAAAAATGACCAGGACTGTTATGAAATTTAAAGCATACTCATGGAGACTGACCTCATCGCAGCACTTCTTGTGTTAAATGCTTTTACATAATACAATCTTTTTTATTCAATCTTTAAATGCTTAATTTTTCAGTATTGGTCCAGAAGAACATATACAATGGCAACATGAAGCTTAAAAATGAAACTAAAACCTTTCTGAATTATAACTTCACATTCCACATTCTACAAAGGAAACCCTTTCAAATGCCGTCATAAAGAAAAGGCATTTCACAGCAGTTGAAGGTTCAATTCTTTTTATTTTTTTTTATGGATTAAATTTTATTCCATAACTTAAATAATTAGTGATCCTCTTGTTTTATTTATGCAGTATCCACTCAACAATTTGTCTGCATTTGTAGCGTCTCCAAATTACCTACAATTTCTCCATATATCTTGCCACAAAACTTGCCTTCAGATTTCCCTGCTTTTGTGAATGAGTAGCAAGTCTCTGATTCAGGAATGCTGCTCCCTGAATGACAAACTTGCATTTTACTCCTTTTATTGATACCCTGCGCTCTGACTGGTGCTATGTAGCAGACATCTTCATTCACAAGAGAATATCAATGACAGATCACAATACAAATAAAAGAGAGCAAAAGTAATTAATATTCTGCCTCACATGAGGGAAAACATTAAAAAAAAGCAGCATCTTAGACATAATACCATAGGAATGTTTATGGGGTATTTATAGTTTTTGAAATCAACCTCTTTGTGATAGAGAAGAAATATTTCATGTGCAGTGCATTTGTCAGCATGTAACAATGCATGAGTACATCCATATATCACAGACATTTCAAGATACATCACTACACACATGTAAATGAGATACAAGATAAAGTTTTCCAAGTGCAAATATTATCAACATCTATAATAACCACAGCGACTTTGCTTTTGAAAAATTCCTTTGCTTTCACTGCTAAAAACTGCAAAGGACAAAAAAAACGATAAAACTAAAAAAATAGCTAGGATACCATAAAACAAGAAAGTATGATAAGTATTATGAAGATTCTGAAAGAATTGCAATGTAATATATAACGTTTTTCACCAAACCTCCAATTAATTTGCTGTGGTAGGTGGCAAACAGTCTATTCCAGTTTCCACTGGAGCAAAATTAATTTCAGTACTATCTGACTTCATTCCAAGGAGAATTTCTGATAAATACCATCATCACTCTGTCATGTTTTTAGTATTTTTTTCAAAAATTTTCACCAGTTCATTGTATTTCCACTATCCTGGTGCTAAGATCATTTCAATCCATCAGATTTGTCTTCATCACCTCTGTTTTCTCCCTGCTTTTTTAAGATCAGATGCAGTTTGAAGATCCTGCGCCCCAGACTTGCTGGGAAAAACATAATATTAATAGGATGCAATAAAGGAAATCAGATGCCAAAAAAGACTGCTCCAATAAAGAATGACAGAATCAGAAAACACAGGGAGAAAAAATGTAGAGAGCAAAAGAACTCTGTGAAGATGAAGATGATAGGTGGCAGATAAAATTTGGAACCTGAATCTGTGAAGTGTTAAGCTCAGTTCTCTGAGTTGCAGAAGTGAAACCTGACAGGATTTCCAGCACTGCCAAAAGAGTAGCACCTAGTTCTGGAAATGGGGAAGGACAATGGGGGAGATGCTATGAGGCCAACAAGAGCTGGAGTCTCTAGTTTGGGAAGTATGGGGTCCAGAGCCAAGTCTGAGCAATATGGAAGGGAGGAAGAGTTATTCCCAATGACATTCCTGGGAGTAACTCATAAAGTGCATCATTCCCAAAAGATGCCCATGTTACAATACCTTCTGGTGGAAACTTTTAATGATCAAAGATGTGGTTGCAAAGCAAATAATAAATTTGCTCAAATTTATTATTTGCTAAAATTTATTATTTTATTATTTTAGCAAATTTGATAAATTTTCTAAAATTTATTATTTTATCCTAGGCTGCACCTAGGAATGATGGAGAACAGACCAGAAACAGAAGAAAAAGAAATATCTGGTATCTTTGAGAAAGAAATGGCAAGAAATTAGAAGTAACTTAAAATGTGAGAGAAAAAAAAAAATCAACTTGGAGGAGTTTATCTGATCTCACAATCTTTTTGTATATCATCTTATTGAAGAAATCTGTCTTTTACCTATTCCTTGACACTGACCAATGCTATTTATTGAAAATACTGGATATTAATTTGATTATTGTTGAAAAGGAAAATATACATTTTTCTCCATATGTCTTAATTATAGCTATATTAACGGGCTGCTGTAGGCATTCTGCCTATTTCAGTAGTCACCATTTACAGATGAACTTCCCAATTTACTGTGGAACCTTTATATCCCATTTAAGACTGAGGTCTGAAATGCTACCATTAGTTTTACCATTTAATCTATTTGATACATTTCCATTTGGCTTTGGGCCAGACTACAACAAAACTGCTTTGGGAAGCTACTCCAACATAGTTAATGTGTCTTGTCCTTGCAATTAGTACTTGTAGACATATCTAGATGTATAAGCATCTTAGCTTTAAAAATGAAACAATGCCATTGTTTTTGCCAAAAGCCCTTATTTATGCAATCCTATTTCTTGGTAGGATTTATTTTCTAATAATATGGAATTAAAAGATACCCTACAAAGCCAAAGAAATTTAATATGTAATTTTTTGCAGGCTTAACAGCCTGCATAAACCAGTACTTTACTTTTAAAATATTTACTTTAAAATGTAATAAATAGTAGTGTTTTAAAAAATTGTATTTCTTTACAATCTCAAATGAAAATAAGTACAATATAATTGTTTCACTTGCACAATTCCAAAGGGGTTTTTTTTTCCTTTTTTTAATGGAAAATGTTCAGGCATCATACAATTAGATGTGACCATGGGATGTAACCTAGTCCGATATCCCCTAATTTTTTGTAGCCAAAACCTCACTGCTGCTGGTTTTTTTCCTTAGCTTAAGCCTGTCTTCACTCTTAAACCACATTACCTGCCCCTATCAGTCCCTCAGAGTCACCACAGTCTCTGTGCCTCCCCAGGCATTACAGCAGGATAATTTAACTTAAGCATTTAAGGATCACTTAAAAGCTCAACCAGACAAAGCAGTATCTGCTGAAATTTGACCTGGCAAAAAATCACACAGATTTTCAACTTCTGTTCTACTTCCTAACCTTCATGTCATTTTTGGAAAGCAAATTGTTATTTTATAATTATTTCCCCACATAAACACCAGAGGGATATCTATACAGCTTGTCTTTTGAAATCTTAAATAGCAGAAGATTCCACAACCTTCCTAGTCAATTTATTTTAGTATTTAGTTGTTGTTTTAATTTTTTTAGTTGATAACTTATATTTTTTTTCTTCAAAATTACTAATATCTGTCCAGCATCCTGCATAAGGAAAGTACTATTTTTCACTTTCATGTGTTCTGTGGAACATTTGGAAATTGGTTACTCTGCCTTCCTGAACATTTTCTGAAATGAGCAATCTCATTTCTTCTAATATTTCTTTAGACACAATTTTTAGACTTCTGACCTTTTTTTTTTGTGTGTGACTTGCCTAAATGGCCCATGCCCTGTGGAAAAAATATGCTAAAGCTGGATGTAGCTATACTTTTACTAGGGCTGTCAAAAGGGGAAGAATTGCTGTTTGAGTTTTACATACACATGCCTACTTCTGTGCCCCCATGTGAAGCAGATGATTGATGTCCTGCACTTGCCAATGGCACTAGGATGGTTTTTCATGTGAATTGCAGGAGCAATGCAAACTTAACCTTAAACCCACACACTCATGCCTTGAAGCTCTGGAGCCTTGACACACATAAATTTTTACCAAATCAAGGGGCCAGTGCTGCATGGTTTCAGAGGAGTTTTGAATAAATGTGCACTGAGGCTTTGATTCTGTACAACAGAGGTGGAAATTTTGAGAGGTAAACGTGTAGTTACATGCATTGCTAGACAAGGTATGTTGTATTTAACATAACAATGACTGCAGCAGGGCTCCCCTGTTTTTATAAGGAAAAAAATCTTGACAGACACTGATGTTGCTAGTGATCAGCAGCTGAATGTATGTAAAGAGGGATTTTTTCATTTAATCTCAGCAATATTTGGTGACACATGGAATAAAAGCTCTTACAAAACCTTGTTACTGTGACTCCTCTAAACAGATGCTGCACATCTTAACTACCATGAAAAATCCTAATTCTGAGCATCGCTTTCATGTCCTTCATAGCTGCAGTCCCATGCTACTCAAAAATGTTACAGTCAGAGCCACCAAGGCCTGGATAATCTTTGTCACTGGTGAGTGTAATTTAGTAGTCTCAGTAAAAATCCTGAGGTGCTGGTTTCATTTGTGTTCATTTCAAATCCTCAGAATTATTATCATAAGAGTTTCCCATCTCCTCCATTCAAAACTGGGACATCATGCTTATCTTTGAGCTCTAATTTAAAGCAAATTTTATTCTGTCTATAGTGTAATTTTCTTGTATAAAGGTCTCAGGCAAGCCACCTATAAATAATGTTCTGGTCTGTGATTACTTTTCTGGATAAATTTAATCTCCATGGGGTTATAATGTACATTTCATTTTCTGAATTTCTGCCTACACTGTAGATTTTCATCATGGTGGGAAATGGATGTAAGAAGCAAGATAACTTTGTGTGAGTCTGAATACTGTGGCCCCACAAACTATTTGCATCATCATGACAGATAATTATAATAACATTTTCTGTGGTTTACACAAATTATCATTTTCTCTTTGTTGAGCATAGGGGAAACCATTCCAGAATTCCATTTCTATTTCTGTTTTACTTTATTCACAATATCTATTATTCTGTGCTTTAAACACTGGCACAGGCCTCACATGATCTCAAGAAAATATCAGCTTTTGCTTAAAAAATATTATTTATATTATCTTAAGCCAACTGATCTCTGTCAGTTACATCAGCTTAGGGCTGGCTGTTGTTGAACATTGAGTCCAGCCTCAGATGTCTGTGCTGTTCAGGAAATGCCTTTCCTCAGATGTCCAAGGTAGTGGTTCCAAAGGCCCTAAATAAAATGGGCAAAACTAAGCACATACTAATTCTAGACACTGAGAAATATCTATATGAAATTCTGGCTTTCAGCCTTAAATTCACATTTTCTTTTAATATGCATTTTCTCCCTGAACACTGCAGAGCACATGAGGAACATGATGCTGGCCTCTTTTTTCAAAGATTCCTTGAGGCTTCAGAAACCAAAGGGTTTCCATCTAGTCAGTGACCTACTATTCATTAATGTGTAAGTACAGTTTGCCAAAAAAAAAAAAAGGGAAAAAAATTGTAAGCACAATATGCAATGGATGCTTTTGCTTTTAAGACTGAAGTTCAAAAAGTTATCTTGGTGTGTTTCTTGTTCCTCAGCAGCTCTAAAAAAAGCTGTGGTCACCACCTTTTTCCTCTGAGTACTGAATTATGTATGTCTCTGTAGGACCAGAAATTGTATTACAAAAAAATTACTTTTCTCCAATACTTCTGAAAAAGATCAGAGTGATCTGGTGAGTTCTGTATGTCTCCAGAGGGTAAGGATGAAAACCTTTCAATCATAGCGTCAATCTATTCACAATTCTTTAAAAGGTAACCTCAGGCTGGCCAGAATTTTTGGGGGGGAAAAAAAGGTGAAATATGAGATCTGTTGATTTTATTTAAAAATTCTTTGATATCCCATGAAGTGTGAAGAAAAATCTTTAAAAGTGTTTTAAAAAATAAACAAAGATTTCTTATGTAGCATCAAAATAAATACAGTAAGGTATAAGAAGCCAGATAAAAGGTGTTGTATATCATAAAGTAAATGTAATATGCATTTTAAATTTTATGTAATGAATAGTTCCAGAGGCACAAAAAAAAAGATGAAGCAAAATAAAAAAGTAAATGAACATAAAATTAAAAAGAAAATAAAACAGAAGCACTAGAGCTAATTGGTCTGCCCAAAAAGCTCAAGATATTTGAGGAAAAAAACCTTATATTTTAATAAGTATTTTATATATATATATATATATATATATATAATAAAGATAGTATTATATAAGGCTTTAAACAATGTCTGATAAAGTTTTTAGTATCAATAATGTAAATATAACAGAAAGAGAAAAGGCTAAGATGGAATATTAACTATGAGCTCCTATAAGCTAAATATCAGAGAAATAAAATCTCTAATAAAAGTAGAAAAAGTGCAAAATCCAGTCTAGCTGTGTTTAATGTCTTTAATTATCTGGAGTACATACTGCTATCTGCTCCATCATCCAGGCTGACACCCTGGTGCAGATAAGTATCTTCACCATGTACTCATCAATAGGGTGATGTGTTCTCACTTTCCACATCAACATAAAGGATTTATCTCTCAGTTCAATCAGAGAAATTGATATGGGAAATCTTTTTGATGAGGGAAGTCTTATTCTACACCTAATGGTGGAAATTTGCAGCCAATAGCCACCAAACTGGAATGCAATAACTACTCAGGGAAGAATTCGCTACAAGATAATGAGGAAGAACTAATGTACAGTCATGATAAGGCACATTTAAATTTCATAAATTAAATAAAGCTATCATTCAACTAATGCTTAAATAAAGCATCATGCAACTTATACTAAATATAACAGATTAAAGGCACTGATCCTGAGGGCATTCTAGTTTTCCTTTCAACGTGTGTGCTGCCATGTTCCCAGGTTTTATCCTTTTCTCTTAGCTTAGCAATCTTTACGTATAACTGAGCTGCAGAGTTCTCAAAGTGATACATACCAGAGAAAACATGTTAGCAGGAGAATCAGAATGTAAGATAAGACTGATCAAGGGCTAATACAGTGATATAGATGCTGTTAAATTGCAATGAATTAATAACATTATGTTTAACAATATGATAAACTAATAATTGGAGAGAAAAAATAACAGAAAAATAATCAACATAACCTTTGTATAAAAAAAAATACAAAAAGAAAGAGCATTTTGAAACAAAAATTCCATGGTAAACCAAAACTTTGTATTTAGATATTTTTGTGAGCAGCAGCTGAAACCTTGAGCTGCTGTTTCATTTTGAACACAATTAATGCAGCTTCATCCACTGATGGTTATTGGTTCAGAACTTGTATACCAGCACAAAATAGTGTCCTTATAGAAAATTATTGACCAAAATTAATTTCTTTGGTATTGAGACTGTCAGCATTCTTTGTGTCTATTAAATTCACTTTGAAAAACGTCATTTGTTTGGCATTTCTTTTGAGAGGTACATTCAATACTACAAAGCTCTTCGAAAAGTCAGAGCAGATCTAGTAAATTCATCATCAGAAAAATAGTTGGATTTCTTTTTTTCTTGGAAGACCTACAGAGGAAATTGAGAAAGAGTGGAAAGTGCAACATCAAAGAAAAATATCCTGATATTCACTTTAAAAAGGAGCAGAATGAAAAGCTCAGAAAGTAAAACAGTGAATTGATTGATTTTAAATATCAATCAAAATATAGGAAGGTGAAAAAGCATTTAGAAATATATATATAAAATTCTCTATGCTATATCTAATACCAAACAGCCAGATTAGAATCTTGTATTACAGGATATGAGTAACATGGTATGTGAAGATGAAAATGCAAGTAATCTCACTCAGAGTAATTCTTCAACAATTTACAAGACACTTGGTGGTAGCAACACCATCTGTCTCTCTGGCAAGAATGTTCCTGGGAATGTCTGATCTTGAGAACTTACATAGATCAAGCATTCCCTTGCTCTATTTCCTGATCCTTCTTTGGTGTTATAGCTGAAAAACACCACTGCTCTATTGAGTGGCAAAGTGGGGCACTAGCAAAGGCTGAGGGAAGTGGGATGAGTGGAGAGAAAGAAAAATTCCTGGGGAACAAGATAGAGAGATTTGATTGTTTAGAAATTGTATTCTCCAATACATTATTCCCACTAAACCATGCACCACTTCCTCTTCTCCCTCCAGTTGGAGGCACCAAAGACCATGAATTGAGATAGGAACAATTTACTGGAAACAGCAATGAGATAAGAAAACAGAGAGTAACAGCTACAATATTAATAACAAAAGGTATAAGAAAATAAATTATTCACTCAAAAAAACTCCCTGATAACTGAAAACACTGGACAGCTCCCTCTACCATGTTCTCTTGACCAGCAGAAACCCCTTCTCCCCAGAATGTCCTGTCCCTGCTCCCCGCAATGACATGAGGTGGCATAGAATAACCTCCTTGTCCTAGCTATGCACCTTCTGGACTACTGCAAAAAATTACCCCTATCTTGTCTGGAACCTGGACATGAAAGAAATATCACTAGCTGACACAAAGCAGAATCTGATTATCCATTATAAATTATGGGGTCCGTAGAAATCCTTGAGATTTGGCACATTGGTCAGGGACACAGAGCTTTGCCTCTGCCCAAGAGCTGGGGGAAGCTAATAAATATCTCTTAAGATATAAAAAATTATTTTCACCCTTTGATTCTAGTTTATCATATCCCAGTTTTACAAGGCACAAATGTACTGCTATGGCTGAGGTGTTTCAGCCTTGGCAGCACAGCATCCACAGCCATCTGCAAAGCTAACAAGAGGTATGGTAAATCCTTTCAAGCCAGGCATCTTCCATGGCTTCTCTGCTATCAGAGGTGAGGACTGCAGTCAGAGTGTCAGGAAGAGAGGATGAAATCCAAGATAACAGTACATCACCAAGGTATTATGTCACACATGTGTAAACTCTGTTTATGGAAATAATAAAGCTACCATATTTTTAAATCTTAGTCTCACACAAAATGTTTCTGTGTTCTCAGCAAACAAAAAGAGATAAATATTTAAAAATCATTTAAAATTAATACATTTGCTTCCATGAGTCCACTAAGAAAATGTTAGAGTATCTCTAGATCTTTGACTACTCTGAAGTTATCAAAAAGACTGATCAATTCTACCTTACATTCATTCTGCCCATGGGGCAATGCTACAGCACTAACCAAAGTAGAGCGCTTTCCCACATAGCCAGAATTTCTGTACAGTTTATTTGAAACTTTTAAAAGAATAAGGATTGAAACTCAAAGTATGCTTATTGAATTATAATTTATGAGCAACACATTACCCAGGTGTTTTGGACAAGATAGTGAAAGGGTAAATCAGGAAATATGACACACTGCTTTCCATTAACCCCCTGGCACTTGCAATTTGAAGCTCCCCTTACTAAAGGCTAATCCATTTTGCTGTAGTGCTTAGCATTTTAAAATCTCTGCTCCTCATGTCAAAATATTTATACACATTTAGATATTAGAAAGGCAGGTAGCAATTCTGATCCCTTACTGTTTTGCACATTGTCACACCAAATCAAAACAAGCAGCAATGCAAAGCATTCCTACTGAAAACACAGCTCCATAGTATATAAGAATGAACTATTTCAACCTTTATTTTCAGACAAATGCATTTGTCCAATCTCTAAAATTCTGTAACAGATCATAGATACAGCAAAGCTGAAGTTTAATACATCAGGGTTCTAGCAAATACTAACAGTGATGTTACTTGTGAAAATGGCTTGTCATTGTTGGTGAGAAACTACATATGCTTATAGCAGAAGCAGCCTACCTCTTCCTTGGTGCTGAAACTGGGATAGGAAGCATTTTGCCTGTGTCATCCTGCAATATTTTCAAAGTATGGCATTCTTTTCCTGGATTAAACCTAAGTGCTTCAAGAAATGAATTAGGAAAATTTCTGTGAACTCAGTCAGATCAATTCACATCCAAAACAGATTATTATGTGAGGAATGAAGAAATATAAGAGTTTGAGTATCGTTTGGTTTGTTGTTTCCATTTACTCCCCAATGAGCAGAATAAGGGAACCCTACTGTCATTATGATTAGGAAAATAAAGACTATAAAAATATCCTCCATAATTTAGATAAAACTGCCCATGCTTCCAAAATACCATCACTCTTTCCCATACAAGCAAGAAGCAGATAATCATGCAGAGTTGATGTCATTTTTCTCTAGAGTGATTAGTCCAGCAGTTTATACCACGATGAAATGCATTTGTTTCCCCTGATTTGAAAGACTTCACATCTCTCATTTAAATTTTAGAAAATCTCATATCACTGAAAATTCTCCAGTTAATTGGGATGACTATCACCTGCTTAAGATGGATCTGCTCTTATGATGAATTTATATTGGATTCTACAGAAATGACATTAATTATTAGAAAATTAAGTATCTTTTTAGTCACTGATATGGAGAGCAGATCCTGCCTTCAAGTGACTGCACTTGTGCATGGAGCTGAAACAGAGCTTACTGGTGCTTGTGTCTTTCCTCTTGAAAGAGCCTTTCATGCTTAATGTTGCAGAATTCCCTGCTGCCAATTAACAGCTGTATGACTTCCAGGTAGAGCAGAGGGAAATGGGAGCTTCTGTGATTATATCTATGTAAAGAATATAACTTTCAAGCTCCCTTTTGCCAGGAGGAATGCTATATTGCTATCAACATCAAGTAAACTGCACATGGAACATGTCTACATGCCTGTTAATTTTATAGTGCTGTCAGTACTCCTGTGTCTAATTAACACAGTCATTGTCCTATGAAATCTTATCAATGCTTTCTGAGAAGCATTTAAAAGTCTGCACGTTTAAAGTAGGTCAGCTTTCCTGAACTCAATTCAAATTTTGTTTAAGTTTGACTAAACTTAACTAAACACACCCACTCACTTGTAT